AAAGATTACAGAGACTGAATACATCTGCGTAAGCCATTGACAACGACTTTGAGCCACGTCACTTATTGTCTCCAGCCGTTGATTCTTAGCGTCGCGAGGGCACCAACCCGGAAGTCTGCATCTCCCTCCCTACCTGACTCAGTTTAACTGTCAAGGATTTCATGGATTGATGCCATGTTTTTGTTTGGCCATCACTTACTTTTTTTCAGCCTGCACCTATATCAGCTAGTAATGCCCGTCGGGGGAGGTGATGGTTAGGCATGCGCAGCACGTGACCTAGCCATCTCAATCTATGTAACTTTATTGCCGTTTCGATTGATTTTCCCTCTTTGCCCAACACTCTGCGCCTAACGTCAACATTACTTATTTTATTATACCACCTAACGTGAGAAAGAGATCGTAGACATCTATGATCAAAAACAGTCAACCTCTTCATGTCTTCAACTCGTCTTGGCCATGTTTCAGAGCCATAGAGAAGGATGGAGCGAACTGCTGAGCAGTACACACGTCCCTTGGTTGATAGCCGGACGTCACACCTACGCCAGAGATGGTGTAAGTTAGCGAAAGCAGCTCGAGCTTTTTGGATCCGTGTTGAGATTTCGTCACCAATCAGTCCGCTGGTGCTGATACAACTTCCCAAATAGGTGAAGTGGTCAACATGTTCTATCACTTGACTCCCTATCACTAAGCTAGGAGTTGACGTAGTCCAGTCCCGTAGAAGCATCTTACATTTTACAGGAGCGAATCGCATGCCAAACATACGAAGATTACTGCTCAAGGTGTTCAGAAGACTCTGCATTTTGTCAGCATCCTCCTCTAACAGGACTATGTCGTCTGCGTATTCTAAGTCTATAAGACTATTCCCTGCTAATAAGTCGATTCCTAAGTCGTTAAGTTCAGTTAAGGATATTTCCATTAGCATATCTATGATGAAGTTAAACAGAAATGGGGAAAGTGGACATCCCTGAAGGACACCACTGGTTGTTATCATTTCACATGGCAATTCCCCATAAGCCCTTACACGGCTACGTGAAGGGTTTTACAGGCAATAGGATCGCGGATACAGTAATCTTAGGTTATGTTAGTGTCACAGGATGGTTTAAACTAATCACTGTCACAAGTAGATTGAAACCAGTTACGTGACTCAGCATTGAGTACTAGTCAGTTTTAAGTGATCTAAATAGCATAGGACTATTGTGCTTCGTTTGGAGTCGGACTCAACAAAGGTGTATGCTGACTGACTCAGCTCACACGGCTGAATCAGTCTGAAGCGCATCAGAATTCTGACTATCTAGTTTCGCGGCGTGTTAACACGTAGGTTTTTCAGTTTCAGGTGAAATTTCCACCCGTCATCGAGTTAAGCTTTCAGTCGAGTGATTGTTCAATCGACGTCATTCAAAAGACTGTTTGTACCGGCTGCTATTCTTTAACTCTGTCAAATAAACAAGTGAATTTCTATAGAACTTAATATTTCATAAGAATTCTATATTATTTAAATAAAAGTCAAAAAAGGAATATAGTAAATTAGAATTTGATATTATTTCTGTTATGTTAAAGAAAAAGAAGAAATGTGAACTATGTCACACTCCATTTACATTCAAACAAGCCTACAAATGAAATGCATCGGGTTTTTTCTCGACCACATAACCCAGTTTTCAATAGTTATTATACAAGTTATTATGAAACAAAAACAGGGCTAGAAAATATTGCTAATAGTGAAATAAATTTCAAATATATATATATATCTAATAAGTGTCCTTACTCGGACTAAGAATGTCTTTCTCATATGCCGTATAAAATTAACAGGCAGATGAGGTAATATTAGTAACATAGTAAATTAAAGAACATTCTTAGATTTTAAGGTCAGATACATATGAGTGGATTTTAAATAAATGTGTATAGAATGTCAATTATGTATTCGAGCACAGTTTGCCATTGTGAAGATTTGATAAGTCCGGCGAATTCGAGATAAGCTTGACTAGGTGCTCTGAAAGTTCTGCTTTCGATCCCCCATCCTGCAGTTGTGGGTGAGCACTGGTGGAGGGTCTCGAACCGTTTCGACGAAACAGCTGTCCAGTACTCTCTGGTTTTTCAGTGCTTCTCTAACTGACATCAATCCATGATCAAACTTGGAACCAGTCAAATTTTTACAAAATAACCTTTTCCATTCATTAGTATATGGTCATAAATTCTCAATGTCTCAACTCAACAGCTTGACAAACGCATTACTGAACATCTTCTTTCATAGTTCAAAAAAATCCAAACGAAATCGTGAAGTTCAATTGTCTCATTCAATTGACAGTGGCCACCAAGTGGACAGATGAATGCGCTTTCTGGCTTATATATCGTATTCCGACGTACCTTTCAAATGGAATTCGAAGTTGTCTCACACACAGTTGAAGATATGGGTATTCAAGAGAACAGTCCTAGTCTTTGTCAACAGGATGGATGGAGTTCGCTCTATCATTCGTCTCTCCTTTGGCTTATGTAAATCTAATTAACTAATTGAAAAATCTCCACCCTTTCGTATTCTTTCATCACCCTCTTACTTTTTTGATATTTTTTCATTTTTCGAGGGTTAGTTTCCAGGATCTTGATTGGTTTCAAGCTTGATAACGGATTGATATCAGAAGGGACTTGAGTTCCTTCAAGGTTGCAGATACGCCTTGCTGACTGGTGAGTGCCAACTAGCACGAAACCTAGGTCCAAGGCTTCCTACCGATTGCCTCCAACCATCTAATATCATCAAATCAATGTGCACCGTGATGGCGAGCTATCTAGAATGGCGGCCACATTACAAACCTGGCTGATAGAATTCAGTCTGCACCAAAGAAAGGACTAGACACCTCACATTACTTACTAGTGTCCAAAGAAAGTATGGATTGATATCAGTTAGAGAAGCATTGAATACCACAGGAAATACTGGATACAGGTTACGTCCTAGCTTAAAATTCTGCAATAGTGTGTACCCATGACCTCAGCAGCGATGGAGCCGGTGATCTTCAGGTTACAAAACGAGCTTATCTATCATTCAGTTACTGGAAGGCGATCCAGTGGCCAATGAATTCTAACTTTTACCAATTCAGGATTTTTAGAGCCACTCTCAGACATTATCGCCGGGAGTATTTTTCCTTATATCCAACTTGGGGGACCTCAAGAGTCCTATCTGCAATACGGATACTTATTTGAACATTTCAACTAGCTTTGGAATTATTATCCTTTTGCCCTTTAAGTTGTATATCGGTGGCCTAGCGTGTGCATATCTTCTTTTGACTCCGATTATCTATCAATTTCATCTTCACTATAACACAACTTTTATTTCTGAAAGATTTTAAATTAATTTTATTACTGAATTGTTTACATAATCATAGAATTTTCATTATTCTTACGGTCAACTGCTTCAACTTCATGTTCTTTTTTTATCATTGACCTTAGTATCACTTTTATTATTATTATTATTGCTGTTATTATATTCATCGGTATTACTGATATGTTTGCAACGTGTAACACTTATTATTATTGATCTACAAACTCATCTTCATTGGTCAACATTTATATACATATGGTTTTATGGAAATACAGTTTGAAAAGATAGATAATACGTTTCTGAAACAGTTTTAGTTACTACATGAAGAACTGTTGAGTGCTAACACTGGACTTCTTTCTCCCTTCAGGGTTGAATTACTCCAGAAAATGCTTACAGGTGGATAAAAAACTTATGACTTTTAACTATAACATTATTATTCTCTTGGATTCTGAGGGGAAATAGAGTTTCGGCAGTCCACCAGCATATTACTCTGTACTCTGCAGTCCTTTTTAGCTGGCTCGACGACCTCCCATGAAGTTTTTTTCTTCCTCATACAATATTTTCCAAGTCACTGCCAAACTCGTCTCTTCGTATTTGTAGCACACTCAAGAGTCTGCAGTGTGATGTAACTCAACGGCCTACTCAGTGGATATCCAATCCCTCTGCATTTCTTCCTGCATATCTGTTATGCGATCAGTTCTTGGTTGGTTTTTTGCCAC